GTGGCTTACAGAATCGCGAAATGTAAGAAGCCTCATACCATCGCAGAAGAACCTATTCTACCGACTGCTGTAGACATGGTGAACATCATGGTTGATGAGTCTGCTGGGAAGCTGCTTTTAAAAGTGCTTTTGTCCAATAACACAATTCGTCGGAGACTGCAAGATATGGTGGAGGATCTCAACGATCAATTAATTGAAAAAATTGAGGGAGTCCCATTTTGATTGCAGATAGATGAGGCTACGGATAATAATAAGGATGCTCATTTGATATGCTATGTACGGTTTATAGATGGTAATAATATTAAAGAAGGCCTTCTGTTTTGTTAAAATATCACTGCAGGAGCGAAGGCTCAGGATCTGTTTGAGATTCTTGATACATTCATAACTAAAAATAATTTGAATTGGCCTAAATGCGTTGGTGTCTGTACTGATAAAGTTCGTTCCATGTTCCTACGTTTAAATACTTACGTAAGGTTTATTATTTTATCACATATCTACTTTAATACGACTATTTTATTACTTTATTTTATATCACAGTTACGTCATAAGACGGTTGCGGAACTTGTGCACTTTTACTATTTGTGGAAAAAGACTGCTCGCCACGACGAGTTCACTAGGCTCTATAGACGTGATAAGAAGAAACACCTCCATCCGGGAATAACGTAACTTAACTCCACTCATTGTTTCGTTTTTGCATAATTACAAGTTTTTTATAATTTTGGTTCGACCTTGTTTTCGCAACTTGGTCGTAGCGTCAGGGTGATCTTGTGGAACGTACTTAGTAATCTGGGTAGTCAGCTGGGAATTATGACAACTACTATGGCAGACGACTTCGGACTAGGTGCGTTCTACTAAGTCACCCTGGCAACAAGACCAAGTTGCGATAACGAGGTCAACCTACTTCTGTACCTAGTCACGTTTCCTCTGTCATAGCATTCTTGATTTTCAGCATTGAACCATTGACTTGATACATTCCCAATGGTTTCGCCTACATCGTCAGGGAGAGACGCCATCTTAAGCAGAGTTACTATTTATTAAGGGTACAAGTGAAGGCAATCTCTTTAGCTAATTTTATGTTTAACCGTTGTGGCATAACTTCTCGCCACTTATTTGTTCTACCTTCTAGTGCTACATCTCTCTTTCTCAACTCCACTTCATACGGCCAAGCTACCTATTAACACAATTCTGTGCTCTTGTTTTCTCCAATATTGCCTAAGTGTGTCGCTACAAATGGGTTTAGTGAAACGTACTCTCTACCACCGGTATCAGGTCCCTAAGCAGGGCTCCTGACCTATATACCTTCTCCTTTTTTTCCAATCCGCTTGTCTATTAGTCGTTGCTAAGCCTCAAAATCATTGCGACCAAACAGAAGGCCACACTACTTGGTCTTCGTATTTACGAGCAAATTCACTGTTTGGCTGTCTGAAATCTGGCTGCCTAGGAGCCTTCAATTCCCATCCTCGACTACGCCATATTTGAGGATTTAGAGCGGATGATGCCCATGCCAGTGCCTCGGAATCTTCCTCTCTCTAGGCTTCAAGAATGATTCGAGAGAAATGGAAATGAACTAAATAAAATAGGACTAGTACTATTTAAAATCAGTGTCGAGTTTTAAAATAAATTTAAACGATTAAATTATTTTTTGCTCTTTGGGACCTTTTTCATGAACTCTTGTGAATCACATCTTATTCTATTTAGGGTGGATTCATTAACTTTTTTTTAATTAGTACAAGCTTACAACTCCCACTCAGCACAGCAAGTGAATGCATGCATTCTGATTACTTTTTATTAATCTATTCGATTTTTTGAAAATAGAAATTTTCTCTTGTTGGATTCTTATTTCCTGTCGTCTTGCCTCTTGGTCATTGAATTGACTTTAGGCCTTCTTGAACTAACTGACAAATTAAACTACTTTAACCTTAAATCAAATGCCTTTAGGCTAATTTTTCGTATAAGTTTAGTTTGTGAATTTAGGCCTTTTCCATGTGCGGTTACCTTTATTATTAATGCTCTCAAAGATTCGAAAAATTAATTTGTTTTTTCTTGACTCGTAATAGAGAATCGCATAATTATTCGCTTTTAATCTTGTCACTTATTACAAAGGTGTGTTATTCCCCTTGACTAATTGTGGTTTTAACTTCTATATATCTCATCAGTAGGATTCCATCCCAGAGTTTGCTGGTTCTGAGGCTACGCTTCACTTTTTTCTGAGCCTAGAAAATTTTAATATACCCTTTAAAAAGTTATTACTAGGTTAATAAAATAACCGGCATGACTCTTATTTGAATAATTAAGTTAATTCTGTGGTAATGTATTTAAATAGTTTCTCATAAGATTAATCAAAGTCACTATTGACAAGAGGATAGCAGTATTATCCTATTCATATGATTTTGAGCGAATATCTTTATTCTTTTTCAGGATTTTATTTATAGGTTATCAATAATTTCGAAATATTAACTAACTTAACTATCGACATCATAAACTTCTGAAATGGTTAAGGGAGAAATTGGTCATGGGCAGGGTATTACCTAGTGGCATTTTTCATATGCTAATGAGATAAAGGCTTATCTTTTGTCTAAACCCACTCTAGCATCCATATTATTGCGTACTCCTGCCTTTAGTGACTTTATGGACTGTTTGGCACAAGAACAAGACACCATTGCCGATTCATTCCTTCATTCCGTAACTGCGGCTTCAGGACCCCCATCTTCTTGTCTTCTTGGCAGTGATTCTCTCTCAAGCCTGCAGACTCTCACAAACCACTCTGTTCACTCTCCTGGTCAACCGATTTCTGCCTCGGTGTTACCTGCCCAACCAAACGCCTCGCTGGCCTTCGGTACGCCCACACAGCGCCATCATCACTCGATGCAGCATCGCCAGCTTCATGCCTATTCATTTCACCCGCATTCCCAAGTTTACCTTCAAACTCCGATGTCCTGTCCTAACTTCAATGCCCATAATATTCCCTCAACTGGGCACAGTTCATCCTTACCTGGTACCTCCTCTCCACCCTCTCAGACCATCGCCATACCCACGCCTCCGGCAATTACTTCGCATTCGGACACTATAATCGCAGATGTGCTTACCCAGTCATCACCTCAATATAAATCATTAATAGATGATGGTTCTTCCAGTATGCAGCAGCAGCAGCATCACCAAGTGGAAGCAAGTGTTGAAGTGGGGACCTGTGGTAGGTCCAGTCCCTTGAAGCTACTTCAAAATCCCGAATTTCTGCTAATGGGCGATAACTCTTTGCTCACAAATAAAACCTCGATGACATCTCGAGGCGCCACTTCTCCCCTAAAGGCCATTATCCGAGATTCGATAGAGGCCCTTAAGCAACCAATAGAGGTCAACACTTCAATCAGCAGACGCTCTGGTCAGTTTAAGAGCCTAATTTAATTTCATTCAACTATTAAACTCTTGTTTAAGCCGATCTAGGCGCAACTGAGCCTCTATATTTAATATAGCTACTCTCGTTTATAGGAGTTCTTCTTCCACCCGAAGAGGCATTTTTATATCGAAAGTGAGGATTGAAATAATAAACTTTTA